TCATAATATTGCGTATTTTAGAGCATTAACAAAAAATATGAGTGGAATGATTACGATTCGAACAGAACGAGCTGTAAGTTTAGAACGGTATTCTGAATGCAGAGCACTTGGTCGAGTAACATTTCGCTGCGCGGGACAGACTATTGCAGCAGGCATTATTGAGCAAAGATTAGATTGAATTAAATTGAATAATGTCCTTTTTTCATGTACCTTCTATGTACGTGATTTGATTTTCAATGGCACTATCATTATGGAAATAATATTAACTATTTTCAAATATTCTTTGTACCAACCGAGCTCACAGATTAAACTGAAATGCCTTTGTTGTCCGAAACTGTAGGTAACTGTTTCCTTTCTAATTATAATCATGTTTCTATTCTAGGTTGATAAGTTGTTATTTTTTTTCATGTTTGTTTGTTCCATTCAGTAGCTCACTGGCTCATTGGCAGTGGACAATATATATCACTTTTATTAATCGTTTATTTGAATAAAATTAAAAATCAACAAATTAGTGTGACATACAGTACTTCGTATTTAGTGATGTACCCGAATTCGTCTTTTTCAATAAACACTGGTTTCCATGTTACTGAGACGCTAACATTACATTGGATATCAATTTTTAAATCTCTATCTCACTGAATTCAAGACCATGTTTTTCCTCGATGAGTCCTCAGCCATGCGATCACATCCCTAAGATTACATCCTATAAGTTTGTTTTTATAAAAATTTATTTCTTTAAATGCTGTAAGTCTTGAACTGTGGAATATCAAGAAAATAAGATTGAGGACATCACCATACAATTCAAAAAATAAGGTGAACATCTGAATATTTGTCTCGTTAGCAGATAGTATGTTTTCATTTATGTATTCATTAAAAATGGTTATATATAATGTAGACTTGCTTTACACAATTACTTCTTACTTACTAGCTTCATTTAAACTAGCTTGAGATTGGTAATAGTTTAATAGATAAGTAAATTTGACTGTCCAATTTTGAATCATTGTTTTCTTCAACTAAAATTGATTTGTAATTCGAGACATTTTGGATATGAAGAGCTTACTGCATACATAATCTGTTTTAGATTAAAATATTTAAATTTGTTCACTCTGATTTAGTTTCTATGATACGACATTGAAGTCAGGAATTGGTGGTCGGTCCGTTTTTAGGTCTAACTGGTTTTCATTTCTTTCCTGTATCTCTGCTTTCTTGGCTATTCTTTTCCTAATTTCTTTCAATCGCTTGTTCACAGTACGCACAGCTGGTGTGCTGTAGATTTTATTTTGATCAAATCGAGCTTTAATCTGATGAATTATTGATAGTATAGCTGGTAGGATTACAAGACCGTGTAAATTGCTTAATATGACGCAAGTGACCATCGTCTTCACAAAAACCTGAACTTAAGAATTAATGAATGTTATGAATAATGAACTATTTTAAGAAAACATACTATTAAAATTTAAATTTGCCTAATTTATAATGGAGATAAGATACCTGTGACATATAAATTTCGGAGAACCATAAACTATATACGCAAAGTATAGTGGACAATGCTGCCTGTACTGCTGGGAATCCCACTGAAGTAAGACAGTTCCCAAGCCTAGCTTGAGGTGTCGATTTTTCGCCTGAATATAGCAGATATACATATGGAATTGATTATATGATGATTAAGAAATACAAACCTTTCTTTAGGATAATAAATAGAAATTAATAGTTAATAGACAATGCTTACTAGCTTTACAGTAATGATAAGCAACATGTGCTGGAATATCAACACTTAAGCCAATAGATATTATCATAGCAGCCATTGAGATTGGGTCCAATTCAACATCCCACCAAAATAGCATGCCCAAGATACCTGCAAACAGTAAACATGCAGTAGACTTGTTTATAATTAATGAATGCAGTCTGAAACTGAAATCAATTACATGTTCTAAATTCTTTTTTTGCAATTAGCACTCAATAAGAATAATTCATTCTTTCACATATTGTGGTTGAATAAGCATTAAAAGTATTTCGCAAACTCATAACATTACAAACTTATTCCAATCCAATTACCCGATGATTGGCTTATGCTAAAATTTTCAATTTTTATAGCATTGTTTCATCAGTTTGTTATTCTTGATAAATTAGGTTCACCTACCAATGGACACAGAGAGGACAGAAGAAGTTGCAATAATCATCGTAAGCATATCCCGAAGGAAGAGGATGCATACCCCAGCCATACAAATCAATGTTCCCGCTATCGATTGCCATGCATCTGTTGGCATATTATCGATCAGATCCAGAAAAATGGCATCTTGATAGAATACGGAAGCATGAAATGATTCGCTATAATAATGAAAATAGATAGAGTGAAAAATTAAGATGCTGTATAGTTTATCATCCAGAAAAATGAGTAAAGTCTGATAAGATTACAGCTATACTTGCTATTTATTAGCTTATCTGGTGCTTTTTTATATTCTAACTTTCTGCATCATCCCTTTCCATGAACTTATTAGTTTCGTTGAAGCATGAGGACTTACTAAACAGGCTTGTCTACGATAGCACGCCATTGTTTAAGTAATTTCCCACGCATTTTTAATTCCTTCAAATTTTCATCATGATAAGCTATAGTGAAGAAAAATCGTTTCAGTCTTTTTTCTCTGAAATAATTCATTATCTTATGAATAGATCAATAATAACCCGCATATCTGAACTGAATTGAACTGATCTGCAAATATATTTGCAAAACAATGCGATCTTAATGATTAGTGACAAAGATATGTTCGAAATTTGAACGAAAAAAAGTGAAATACGAACTTTCCATCAGCGCTAACATTTTGCAACTGAAGGAAGCCGGACCAAAAATCATATTCTGGCCATGTCAAGAAATTTACCAGATTATCATTATTGAATTTGAACAGAGCTTCTGGATCAGTTGTTGTGGTGCTAACATCATCCGATGAAGCGAAATCATAATCATAATCAGCTAAAATGAACAAATATTGGAGAATGAAATTATATTTACAATGTGCTACTCTCATTTGCAATGCGAACTAATAGTACTCTCAGAAATACGACGATAAAACCAAAAGCAATAAATAAAAATAAAAACAAACAGTGTAAAAAATTCTGGAATAAGACGAAATCACGCATAAAATACATAGTACCATCGGGTCCCCAACTACCGTTAAGCTTTTCGAAATCCTCAACCATATTATTCATCAGGAGGAATGGTAATTTCTGTGATAAATCTTCAGGTGTTTCGACAAACACCAATGCCATCGTAAAAGCCGGTACTTCATATTCATCACGTAGCATAACGAGCTATAAAGATATGAAATTAGATTTCTAATAGGATAACAACGAAAATCATCTAAGTCGAATATTAGAAGATAATCCTTATAGCAAAAACCTTTATCAGCGGAGAATCTGGTGCAAACAGCTTCTGAGGAGTAAGACTGACATTCATTTGTGTTATCCCCTAAAATAATGATGATAATTGATACTGATACATTTGGTATAACATCTGTAAGATGATAATTGATGTGACGATAGTTGATATTGATATATTTGGTATAACATCTACAAGAAGATAAATAATATATTCCCAGGGTAACTAATTAATATTGGAATTAAAGATCGAAAAGAATGAAGTAATAGCCTAATTAATTGATATATTTTTTAAAAAACATAAATAAAATAGATAGGCAAAAAAAGAAAAAAAGAATTACACACCCATATAGATGTGACAATGTAAGTAATGTAAAGGACAATGATAAGCACTGCTATCACTGGATGTGAAATGATATTCACATATACTCGCATATATTTACTGATATATAATTTTGACTTATCATGAAATTTTGAATTTTCACGCTGAAAAATTTATTAATAATCATAGAAATTATCAGTAGGATTAGAGGCGGTTGATGATGATAATTGATGTTAAGCATTCATAGCGTATACTGAATATACCATTATTATATTTCAAAAGCAGAATAAAGTGTGCAGTTAAAAATTCAATCTTGATTTTAAACTTTAATAACTAATCCCCTTCAATGTATTCTCTTCACAATACAGACACTAAAAAAAAGTAAGCCTTCCAGATTAAATTGTTCATGAAACAACTTACAGGAATCTTTCCGCATTTTCTGATACTCACTTCACTTTTCTGTATTGCAATATTTGTCGTATTATTTTTATTCTTCTCAGCTGCAATCTCAAATTTTCCAACAACAGACATCAGACCAGAATAAAACGACATCTAAAATAGAAATTTAATGAAGTCATTGCAAAAAAAAAAGAAATGAAAAATGGAATGAAATGTAACGTGTACCTGATATAAATATGCTACAAACATGGAAAATAAATTTCCAATACATAAAAGACGAATTTCAGGAGAAGACGTGAAACAGCCAACAGTATCAGCTAATATATTAGTTATTGCAGAGATTAGTATTGCAGGACCAACTTCACTGAGTACCTAAAAATATCACATCGATCAACAATTTACAATGGCTATTTAAACTAGATATGCTTAATTAATAAGGTTCGGGAGAAGAAAAAAAAACACCAACTGCAGACATTCGATGTTCAATACTTCCATCCTTTTTCTCACCATCTCGTATTTCCTTCGTTACTCGTTGCCATTCATGGATCATTAGATATGAACTATCAACACCTGAAACTATTCTCAATTAGTCATTTTAATATGAATTAAAGCTATTCAATTTAATTACATTCTTTTTCACTTGGTATATTATTTTAAAAAAATTTATTTATTCTCTTACCAATAGATAGGACCAGAAAAGGTACAACACAGAGTATTGGAGAGAATCTCATACCACACAAAAATAGTATTGCTAGTCCTGTAGCACATGCTAACAATGGTGTACTACAAGCCATCACGGCTAGAAAAATCTGAAAGTAAGATAATATAGCAAACATTCTCAATAGCATAAATATATTTGATTCTAACGCTACTATAAGTTTTTTCATCAGTTATATCAGAATGATATCACTGATAGAAGTAATGTAGTATAAAAAAATTAAGGATGTCAAATTTGAAAGATGAAGAAGATTAGTAAGACAAATATATAAGTAAGAAGTTAAATGAGAAAGTAAATGAATAAATTAACCTTGAATATATTATTTTGATTCATGTATGCAGCACGAACCATTACGGTAATTATAGAACAGGCACTCATGATGATAAAGCCAACAGTTAGATACGGTAATACTGATAATCCGGCACGAACCATTTCTTCTTCGATATAAGGTGTAGAAATGACATAAATCATCAAATGCTCTGATTGATAATTTCTGGGAATGATCAGTTGATACTGATATGTCAACCGTAAGCAATAATTAAATAATTTAAAGGGTATTAAATGGAAAATATTTTAAGCGTATGCTTGAATTATTTATCCTATTTCTATTCTTGAAAGATTTTCTCAATCATTAACATAGTAAGAACAAAAAAATTAGAAAATATAATTACTGGAAAAAATGAACGACATTCATCTCCCACTGCTTCATCTCATCTTTGCTCCATTGAGGATTTTCCAGAGCACGAAGTTGTAACACGATCATCTTCACTGATTTCATATTTGTCACCGCTGGATATGTCTCATTCCAGCCCATCAATAGTTCCACATTTGTATCATTCCCGAAAAATTGACGTATGCCTTCTGTGTCTCTATCGATGTCCACTTTTGTTTCATTCCCGTTGTATAATTCTACACCAAAAAAGTATGGCTAAAAATAAATCATTTTATTGTCTATGATAAGCTATAGCTTATTCCTTGTGGTGCTGTTGCTAAAAAAAAAAGTGCCGCTAAAAAAAGAAATGAAAATGTTTGCTAAAGAATCACAGTTTGCTTCAGGTGACAGTATTCGGATTACAAAAATGCTTTATTTTCGAATATGTAAATGAATATAGAGCAATAGGATGATGGAACTTTTTGCTTATTAGATGGCATGCAGAATACATCTTCTCAACTACAGTAAGTTGAGAAGATATATTTTGCATGGCATCTAATATTACTGTAATTTCCTCCACTAGCAGTAAAGAT